TGCTGCCATTTCAGTGCCCACAGCTAGCATTCAACAATTCTAGCACTGCCCTGAACCACATACTCATTTACAGTGGAGTAGACAGGAACAACCGTAGTTAAGTATCTTGTTCAAAGATGAAAAGTAAAAAATAAGTTTCTGACAATGAAGTTTTCTAGAACACATATGTAGAGCCAGTGTACCAGGCCTTTATTAACACATGTATAAAAATGTTAGGAGTGTTTTAGTACGAGATATATACCTTTGTAGTGCCAGCGTAAGCAGGGTTCTGGTAATGGGCGATATCGTTGTCCACACCCTGTCCCCACTGCAGGCCTCGAACACGCTTTGCATCATCATCGTGGGGCGACTCTGCACGTCTCCTGCAGATGGAAAATTGTATTGATTTAATAATTAACAGATCAAGCTCCGATATCAGAAATATTTAATTCTGACTCAAACTGACTTTCTGTACACTGTTATTATAAGGTAGATTTGAAAAAAAAGGGTTTTTAAACTTTAGTGTGGTTGCTGATCCTGAAGCTACACAATGATGGCAGTTTGTTTTACCAAGAAAAGTAAAAATGGAATACTCTAACTCTGATATGCACTTATACAAGACTGACTTTGAATTTGTATAGATCTAAATCAATTTTTATTTTCTGAATTTCAAAATAATATATTTGTCAATGCAAATGTAATTACCTTTCTCTCTCTCTCTTCATAATCAAAGATATAAACAGATCAGCTCAGGCTATAAATAGCTAATAATCAGAGATGATGACTTAAGAAGAACATACAGCAGAAAGAACTAACATTCAATATGTTCTTATTCATTTTAAATACATGGGTAAAATCAACTCACTTTCCTTTACCACTACTCCGACTCTGATATGAATCTGAGTTTCTTGAATATGGTCTCGAATCTCTGCTATATGACCTTTCAAAATCCTTTGATGCCATGTCTGTAATATCTTCTTCGTCTTTGTCTTTAGATCGAATAACTTTTTCAAACTCACAAGGGGAAATGCTTCTTTTAAGAGAAGTTGTTGAACAGCCTGGTTCAGGATCACTTGGAGGGGGACTTTCTTTAGAAGGTGAATTATTCTTTTCTGCGTCAGAAGGTGAAATGCTTCTTTCACGGGAATGAGGTGAAACACTTCCGTCCAAGTTTGCGGGCGAGACTCTTCCTTCAATTGCTCTGATGTCACTACCTTGATATTTTTCGGTTTGAAGACGAACCAAATTCACGTTTTCTTTTTGGCTATTGTTCTGAACAGCATTCAACCTTTGTGAATTGTAATATCGTTGAGCTAACAGCTGATTTCGTTTTGCGTCAATTTGTTTGAGAATTTCAGCGTTAAACTGATTAGCGAATCTGACTTGCTGGGGAAGATTGGGAGTCCTACTTGTAAGGTTTGCGACGGCGATTTGCGAGTTGTTCACAAGATTGATATTTTTTACCAGTGTACTATTAGACACAAGTGTGTTGTTAGCGACTATAGTCTTATTAGCAACAAATGTATTATTCCTCACGACCGTATCATGTGTATCGTTTCTGATGATTGTGTTATTTGAAACAATGGTATTGTTAGTTACAAGTGTTTTACTGCCTGGACTCTGCTGGATGTTCGCCTTCTGAATGATCAGTCTCCGAATCTGTTCATTCTCTGCAGCGTTTTGTTGTAAGGGGGCACCAGCAGCAACGTTGTTGTTCAGGAGATTCACACAGATCGGAGTAGGTTTCGGTGCCGTAGAAAACTGTTGGGTTTGACTCCTGACAGCAGAATAATGCTGGGTTTGACCACCACCTCCAATGACTGTGGAACTGTACTGCTGAGACTGGGTCCGGGTCTGACTCCTCACTGCAACTGTTGGTACTATAGGGGCTGGCTTCACTGTGTATGGTAACGAACCATAACCTGCAGGTACTGATGGCATGCGCAATGGCTGTCCAGAAACAGCTTGAGGAGGGACTTGTGACCTGTAAGTAAATAAGTTTTACCTATACAGACACAAGCTTAAAATTACTCAGACGGCCCTGTATTTCTCACCTGGATATTTAAGCAAATAAGGCAAAATGTTTCTCATTAGGAGTAGCATTTGAAATAATTCCCTATTTCAAACTCTATCTCCCTGGTCCCAATAGGATACTTCACAGTTGAGATCTGTAAGCATGTGAATATGGTTACGGGGTTAGGAAATTAATGACCTAATAAAGTGTAAGTCCCCAGGGATGGGGCCAAATCCCTGAGCTAATCCTGGATGAATCAGTGTTCACACCAAATTTTCGATTTGAGGGTACATTTGACGTATTTTCAATGGGGGTTTCTGTGAACACTGAGAATGCTTGTATCCTTTTCTTTTTATACCCAACAAGCATGTTAATTAGTTCAGTATATGATTAGCATTTCAACTCTTCCCAGCCTATGACCCAAGGACAAAGAAAATTGTTTGCACATAATGTATTCAAGTGTTATGGTTCTATGCATTATGAATTTATGATCTACAGATTAAAGCTTTTAACATAACTGACTCCTATGACTTTGTATGTTATGATCATGAATGGTTAAGAATTTGATCTATGTACATTTCTGTAACTGTAGTAGACTCTACTATGCATTGATCTGGATGAGTCCAGTATGGTGTATAGTGGTGAACACCGTATATCTGCAAAACTATATAAACATAACTGAAATTACTCTTAATGAAACATTAAAAACAGAATTTTCCTAATCCAGACAACATTTTAGCACATGACCAGTATCTACTAATGAGTATGTACCTGTATGTGGCTTGTTGAGTCTGTTGTCCAAAACGATACATAGCATTTAGCATGACAGGCCGTTGTTGTTGCTGCTGTCCAGGCACAATGCCATAAGGTGAGGCCACCGATCCATTTGATAAAATGACATTACCACGATACATACTTTGATTCCACAAACAGCAGTAGTGTTCAGCTCTAGACAGACATCTTTAGAGTGAACTTTTTATCTTTCTTTTTGTGATCTGCAATAAAAGTTACATATATTATATAAAATATGTCATGTTATACATATGCAACAGTACCTACTACATTATAGATTTATGAATGAGTCTTCTGACTTCTATTTACTTTTTTATTTATTCTGCTACAGTAAGCACTGTTGTTGGCTCGTATGTTAGCACGTGAGGGGGGGC